GTTGTGCTGCGCGGGGGCCCGGGCGAAGGCGGCCGAGCGCGCCGAGCTGCTGGGCCGCCTAGCGCGGGGCTTCGGCGTGGACCACGGCCAGGTGGCCGAGCAGAGCGCCAGCGTGCTCCAGCTGCGCCAGCAGCCGCGCGAGGCGGCCGTGCTGCTGCAGGCCGAGGACAGGCTGCGCTACGCGCTGGTGCCGCGCTACCGCGGCCTCTTCCACCACATCAGCAAGCTGGACGGCGGCGTGCGCTTCCTGGTGCGCCTGCGGGCCGACCTGCTCGAGGCGCAGGCCCTCAAGCTGGTGGAGGGGCCGGACGTCCGGGTAAGGCCCCGCCCGGGCCGCCTCCGACCTGGCGCTTGGCTCACCTGCTGCGGTCCCCCCACCCCCACCCCACCCCCCCGGCGGCCCGCTTCCCGTCTGCCCACTGTCCGAGTCCTTGTCTCCCCGCAGGCTCGCCTTGCAGCCCTCGCGCGGTGCACAGCGGGTATCAGCACTGTCTCTAACGTGGCTGCCTGGCCTCACCAGCCAGTGCGCCCTGTGACACCCCTCATTACTGTAGCCGAGAGTTTCACTACTGTGGTGTATCTGGATGCGTCTGAACTGAGCGGCCAGCGGCCTTCTTAAAGCCTGGACGGGTCTGCAGGCGTCCCTGGGGTGTGCACCCTCTAGGTGTGAGATAGTGTCCGTGAAACACACAGAGGGCCACAACCCAGGGTCGTCGCCGCCCGGGAGTCTCAGGGCCTTCTGGTCTTTGCTGCCAAACTTGAGACAGGACATGTAACTCCAGCGAAGTGGGATGATTGGCTTTGAGTTGACATCTTGTAATCAGCTTAGCGCAGCGAGTTCAGTTTAGATGCAAACAGGCACTTTGAGGTTGGAGTAATTACAACCTGAACGACCCCGTGAGTCGCCAAAGCCCTTTCATACTGAGTAGTAAGTGGGGAGAACACTAACCTGCCCTTTTACCGAGTGAAGAATGGCTTAAACATTCAGGAAGTTTCTGGCATTCAGAAGGGTCTTCTGGGCTTTTAAAAAAGCTGAGCCTGTGAATGAGAATGTCCTAACACTGCACAACTCCCCGCGGCATAACTGCACTTGGTTCCCTCAGTCTTAGGTGGCGGTGCGTGTCCCTTGTACAGGAGACGGGAGAGGTACTGAGGTCGTGTGTCTTGCGGGTTACTCAGAGCAGTAGGCGTGTCTGATCATCTCCCAAATCCAAGGTGCGGCAACACAGGCCACTTGAGCAGCATTTATCAGAAACGGTTTCCTTTCTGACTGCCTCACCTTAAGTGCCTGGGTGCAGTTAAGGACAGGATTACTCTCGCACTGGTCACTGGCAGGGATTTGATTTCTCGAGTTAGTTGACTAATTTGACTAATTAGGCTAAGGTAATCCTTAACCTGAGGCCACAGGTCTTTGGCCACCAAGTTCCAGTCTGAGCCACTGCAGTTAATTGCACATGACATGACAGAGTCAGTGTGGATTCCT